GGGGATCAAAGACCTGTGTGTGTGTGTAGGGGATCAAAGACCTGTGTGTGTGTGTAGGGGATCAAAGATGTGTGTGTGTGTGTAGGGGATCAAAGACGCGTGTGTGTGTGTGTGTGTGTAGGGGATCAAAGACGTGTGTGTGTGTGTGTGTAGGGGATCAAAGACCAAAGGCTGATGGAGCTCTGGGGATGAGCAGCATTTATGGGAAACCACAGATGGAAGAGCCAGCGACGGCAGACTGCAGACAGAAGGAATGAAAAAGATAAGCAGCCAGGCATGGAGGAGGCTGGGCGGAGGGCAGAGCGAGGAGGGGAGTGGGTGACGGCTGCCTACCCGGTTGAGAGCCATCTGGTAGATTTCTTCGGGTGAATGGCCCTTCTCCCTGGGGTGCAGTTTGTAGCCCAGCTTCTCAGGCATCTTCTCCACCACATAGTTCCGCAGCTTCAGGTTGTTCACTTCTATCCACGTGTTCTCATCGTACTGAGTGAATTTGGTCAGGTTGAGCCCCAGGCTCTTGCAGAGCTCGTGGAGGATCCTGAAGGAGTCAGAGAGGCCGGTGAGGATCAGGCAGGGCGTGTGTGTCTGTGTGTGTGTGGCCGGAGGGGGGGTCGGGGCCCCTCTCCGGGGGCTTGGGGACGGGCATGAGGCTGCAGTGGGGCTAGAGTCGGGGTCATGGGTGCTGGGGCCTGGGATGAAATGGCAACAAGGCTCGAGGCCGGAAGGCTGAAGGTGTAGCGGTTTGGGATTGTGTTTGGAACGGGAGCTGGCTTTCACTGGGGCTGAAGTGGGACTGGGGACAGAGTCTGGGTTGGATGGGGGCTTGTCATGGGGAAGGGACAGGGTTGGGGTCTGGCGCTCTGGCTGGACCTGGACGTGGTGGGGCTGGAGCTGGGAGATCTTGAAATTAGATCGGGACAGAGGGGGAGGTAGAGTCTTGACGCAACTTGACTGGGGGTTTGGGTTTGGGGTCAGGGTTGAAGTTCAGCCTGGCACTGGAGTGGGGATGGAGTTGGGGATCTGGCTGAGTCTGAGCATAGCCATGGGACTGGGGGTAGCCTTGGTGCCCGCCTGGCTGCCTGGTCAGGCCTCACCTGTGCGAGCTGGGCATGCGCATGGCTCCCAGCTCCCCAATCCAGCCCGTCTTCCGGTCCCGGTAGGTGAAGATGCGGCCCCCGATCCTATTGTCTGCCTCCAGGATGGTGACCTGAGGGATGGGGGGAGGACAGCAAGCAGGGCCCTTCAGCTCCTCCCACTGACCCCCCCATCCCCAGCCTCCCATCCCCATGGCAGCAGAGACCTCAACTAGAGAAGGGCCCCCTTCTTTATGGACAAGTGAGAGGAGCTGGTGGAACAAATGTCACAGCAAACACATACAATATGACACTCTCCAGACTGCAGCAGGAAGACGGCAAGCCAGACTGCAAAGGGACTTCCCAGCCAGGAAAGTGGGCAGATTTCTCGCAGGCACAGAGGTCCTAGCCCAGCCCATTCTCATTTTTGGATTTCAGTGACAGAGGCAGTGGTTAGACCTCAGGGGGCACTTCTCCTTGAGTGGAATTTCTATCTCCACCAACACAAACTCCCCCCAGGAGGTTGGAGGACATTCAGAGGGAATTCCCTCAGGAATGAGAGAGAGCAGGACAGGGAAATCAAAGGCCTCTCAGCCTCCCTCTGGGTTTCACTCCCCAGACCAAGCGGCAAAGCACATCTCTTCTCCCCACCTCCTACCAGCCCCTTAACCGGGACGTAGCCAGGCCCCTATACCCAGGACTCCCAGCCTGCAGCAGGAAAGACTCAAGGTAGACAACAAGCAGCACTTCTCACCTTGTGTCCCGCATCACTGAGCACCTTGGCAGCTACCAGCCCAGCTGCACCAGCACCAACCACAATCACCCTCTGAGGCTTCGAGGTCCGATTGAGGCCCAAGGTCACAACCTTGAGCAGCACCTCGTAGTCAGGATCATGCATACATTTTTCAAAGGGATCCTGGCTGTGGGAAGTCTTCCAATCCAGGGAGGCCACCAGGCTGAGGAAGATGGAGACCAGGACGAGAAGGTACCGGGCTGGAGGGAGGAGGGACAGGGTCAGTGGGCAGGTCAGTAGGTATGTGTGGGGAGAAAATTGGGCTCCGTACCCCCTGTCCCCGTGGCCCCTTGCTTACTTACCTAAAGAGGCCATAACTCTCGGTGGGAGATGGTGTCTAGTTTGGAGGGGAGGCAAGGGTCACCGTGACAGGGGCCTGGCCGCCCCTATGGCCTCACCCCTCCAACTATCCCATCTAGCTGTCTCCTGTTCTGTGCTTACCTATCTGCCCCTCGGTACCCCTCCCTGCACTCCTTTCTCTTCTCTCTTCCCCTCTCCTCTGCCCTCCCTGTCCCCAAGTGTCTGTTTCTGGGGGTCCCAGTCTCTGCAGCCTCCTCTCTACCTTGGCTCTCCGTGGACAGCAGCAGCACCTCTGTCCTCTGTCGCTCCCACTGGTCTGCCCTGACCCCCCTCGCCTGTCCTTAAACTAGCTGAGCCCCGCCCTCCCCTCCCTCTGGGAAATCTGTAGGCAGGGAAATGAAACTACTTTCCGGGGTTGTAGGGTCAGGTGCTCAGAGTTTAGCTGAGGCTGGAGGGGGTGGGTGGTGGGGAAGGGGGGCTGAGAGGAAGCAAATCAGTCTATTTTCTTCCTCTTGCCCCAAATAGTTCTGGGGCGGTTGGAAGGCTGGAAATAAATGCTCAGGTAACCATGCTAAGGGGCCCTGGTCTCGGGGCCCCTGTGTCTGCCCTTGGGGCTGCATGTTCCCTGTGACGGGCTCCGAGTCCTCCTCTGTGTCAGCTGTCACTGTGCCCTGAAGGGCCCTTGCTGGTTCCACTCCCCTCCTGCATGGCTGCTCTGAGCCTCAGTCTCTGAGGCCAGCCTGCCGCGGTCCTGAGCCTGGTGCCTGCCTCCGTAGTTCTGGTCTGCAGCTGTCAAGTGGGGGCCGTTAAAATGTGGGGAGGATAAGGCACTGAGTCCAGGTCAGGCCCTGTGAACAAGCACCTGGGTCAATACTACAACTTGCCCCTTAGGAAATGCCCACTGCTACCACTGAGGGGGGTACTGGGAGGGGCTCAAGGAGTGACCCCCTGCTCCCCAGCCCTGCACAAGGAGCAGCCCAGGATGTGTGCTCATCCCTCCCACCCCTGCACTGAGATGCTCAGCTGTGGTGCTCAGCTTAGGCTAGGGTGCCAGGGGGCACCTCAGCCAAAAGCCGCAGGAGCCTCTGCCTCTTTGCCTCTGACCTTAGCCTTCACCACCCCTATATATAGGGTGCTTTTTTCCTGAGGTCAGGCAGTGAGAAGAACAAGATGACCTGGTTCCAAGGAGTCTCTCCACTCGTGGCAGCAAGGGTCCCTCGGCTTTTGGGGCTTTAGCCAAGGGCACATGTGGTAGGTCCCCTGAAGTGGGTGGAGGTAGAAGACACAACTTCGGAGATTTTTCTTGGGGCGGGGGCAGAGGGCACCAGGCAGCTGGTGAGGAGTAAGGCCAGAGGCAGCAGGTCCTCTGCAGCAACAAGATGGGAAAATCCGAAAGTGTACATCAAAGAGGGATGTGGTTTGATGGAGGATGGGGGGCGGGAGGGAGGCATGAGTCAGAAAACATATGATGCGGGGGCCTGGCAGGAGCGGCCAAGAAGGAAACACAATTCGCTGGACAGAGCCTTGAGCCTCGAGACTGAATGCCAAGAAAGTGAAGGGCACAAGTCAGCACAAATGGCAGAGACTGTCCCCAAGGTGAGGACCCACTAAGGTGGTCCTGGGCTCAGTGCTTTGCACTCACTGTGGGCCTCACAGCGTTGCACTTGGCAGAGGAGGGATCTGAGAGATGGAGAGGGGGCAGGCAGGGGAAGACCCCAGGACTTGCCCAAGGCCTAAGAGTGGGAAGGCCTTCCCCGGGCTGCCCCTGCCTGCTTCCTTCCCGGTGACGCGGGGCACCTGAGCACCACCATGCTTGACTCTACTCACAGTAGCTGCACGAGCACATGGCATGATCGCTCCTCTAACCCCAGGGACCTTGTTGGAGGGGAACCCAGCCCACCGAGGGCAAGGCTCATGCCCCAGGTCCCACAACGGGGAATGACAGAGCCGGGGGTCCTGCTGGCCCCCGGAGAGAGGCCCATCTGTTCTACTTCCTCAAGGCAATGTCCACACGGAGAAAGCGAGCAGCCATACCATGGAAGCAGAAAGGGCTGGAGGCAGCAGAGCCATGAACTCCTGCACTTGTCTAGGCAAGAGTGTTGGTCCCCAAAACAACTTGGGGAGGAGCCCTGCTGGGGTCCCTGAGCCGACCCCCCTCGTTTCTCTCACACACAGGATTTCTGTTCAAAGGCCCCTGGCTCCGGCACACCCCTGGCTCGCCTCCTGGACTCTAAGTGAAATGCCAACCTAAAGGGGTCAGCAGGGCAGGGAGAGGGAGGTAGAGGAACCCAACTCATGAGGCGACCCAGTGTTGGGAGCCAAGAGCGCCTGAGAGTAGGGATCCTGTTAGGGCAGGGCTCCCTATGAAATGCCTACGGGTGCTGTTTCCTACCACGTCCCAGAAGGGCGTGGATCCCAGCAGCCTGGCTCCAGGCCCATGTTCTGAAACACTTGTTCGTCAGCAGCAAGCTTGGGCTCGTGAACTAGGGAGGGGGCCAGGCCAGGGTCTCTCTGCCTCATCACCGTTGACATCTGGGGCCATCTTTGTGGGGGTCATCCTGTGCGTTGTAAGATGTTAAACAGCCTCACTGGCCTTTACCAACTAGATGCCAGTAGCACTTGTCCCTCGAGCTGTGACCACCACAAATGTCTCCAGACATTGTCAGTCATTCCCAGGGGAAGGGGAGGCAAAATCACCCTAAGAACCACCGGGCTAGGCTCAGGTTGATGTTTAATGGAAGTCCCCCAAGCAGCCAGCTATGGTCCAGGACAGAGACCTGGGTACAGCTGGCAGGACAAGAAATACTGGGGCCACACAGTTGTGCGGGGGACAGGGCTCGAGCTTTACCATATTATTCTCTCTGAGGCAGTTCAAAGACTGAGTGCTCGCTACTAAAACTTTCACCGAGTCTCTGAGGGGGTAAGGCCTGCCCAGGGGATGCCCAGGGCCCCAGGTGGAAGTCAGGGGTCCAGACCTGGATCAGGGAGGGGCTCAGAGAGCAGAGGACAGACTTACCCTTGGCCCTTAATCTATGGCTTGACTCCTGGACAGAGTCCCCCTTCCCGCAGAGCCCTCCTGCCCCCTTCCCCTTTCCAGAACCCCTGGGCCCCATGGGGGGCACTCACAGCATGGCTGGCTCTGGGGGGCTCTTTCAGCGCCCATGGCCTTTCTGGTTAGCCTGGGACAGAAGTCATCGTTGGGCGTGTACAGAAACGGGGTCAATGGTAGTAGCTTTGTCCTGATTCCCGTTAGACCAAAGGTGCCAGGGTCCTGGTGAAGTCAGAACAATTGGGAGGCTGTGGAGGGCAGGTCCTCCCTTCTCAAAACCTTTTTATTATGGAAATTTCAAATATATATAAAAACAGAGAGACTGGGATGAACCCAAGTGCATCCATCGCCTCCTAGCCCATTTTGTTTCATTTACATTTTCTCCCTCCCCCACTGCATTATTTTACAGCAAATCCCAGACATCTTGTTATTTTGTAGGTAAATACTTTAGGATGTTTCTCTAAAACAGAGGTCTACAAACATTTTCTGTAAATATTTGGGGCTTTGGGGGCCACACTGTCTCCATCTTGCCTACTCAACTCTGCCCTCCAAGTAGCCACAACATGTATAATGAATTGGTGTGGCTGTGTTCCAATAAAAGTTTATTTACAAAAACAGGACATGGGACTGTAATTTGCCAACCAACTGCTTTAAAAAAGATTAGAACTTGGGCGCCTGGGTGGCTCAGTTGGTTAAGCGACTGCTTTCGGCTCAGGTCATGGTCCTGGAGTCCTGGGATCGAGTCCCACATCGGGCTTCCTGCTCGGCGGGGAGTCTGCTTCTCCCTCTGACCCTCTTCCCTCTCGTGCTTTCTATCTCTCATTCTCTCTCTCTCTCAAATAAATAAATAAAATCTTTAAAAAAAAAAAAAAAGATTAGAACTTACTTGCTTAAAAAAAAAAAAACCTACAATACCATTATTGCATTTAAAAATGGCATTAAATTGGGGCGCCTGGGTGGCTCAGTTGGTTGGGCGACTGCCTTCGGCTCAGGTCATGATCCTGGAGCATCGGGCTCCCTGCTCAGCAGGGAGTCTGCTTCTCCCTCTGACCCTTTTCCCTCTCGTGTTCTCTCTCATTCTCTCTCTCTCTCAAATAAATAAATAAAATCTTAAAAAAAATGGCATTAAATCAAAGTCCAATTTCCCTGTCTCAAAAAAATTTTTTCAAGTAGGCTCCACACCCAGTATGGAGCACAGAGCGAGGCTTGAACTCAAGACCCTGAAATCAGACCTGAGCTGAGATCAAGAGTTGGAACACTTAACTGACTGAGCGACCAGGTGCCCCTCAAAAATTTTTTTGGCAGTTGGTTTGAATCAAAATTCAAACAGGAGCCCACTTTGCATTTGAGTGATACTGAGGGTCTTTGTTAGTGTTACTTTCAAGTCCGTGGATTTGGGGTCTGTGTCCTTAGAACCGAGGGGTTTAATGGGACCCCACAGTACCAGGCTGGGCCTGAGCCTGGCAAAGCAGCACACGAGGTCTGGTTTCTGCCATGGGGAAACCTGTGAAGGTCATGGGGTTGAACCAGGATGGTGCCTGGACGTGAGGTGCGTGCCTAGGTGAGTCACTGATGTTTGAAGTGATCTGTGCCACTGTGTGAGGGCTGTGGGACAGGCACAGGGGCAGTGTGGGACATATAAGCCTGGCTGGGGGCTGGCTGGTGTACAGAAGCCAATGTGGCTTCTGAGGCTGAGGGAGTTTGTTTCCTGGGAAGTTCTGCAGAAAGCCCTTGCCCTGAGAGTCTGAGGGAGGACTTTTCAAGCACCCAGGTAATTTCAAGGTTGACTGAAAACTTGGCAGCAGTGGTGTGCTGGGCTGGCTCCTAGCAGTGAACAAGAGCTGACCGATTTTTAAGATCTTTGGTTTTGGGGGCGCCTGGGTGGCTCAGTTGGTTAAGCGACTGCCTTCGGCTCAGGTCATGATCCTGGAGGCCCGGGATCGAGTCCCACATCGGGCTCCCTGCTCAGCAGGGAGTCTGCTTCTCCCTCTGACCCTCCCCCCTCTCATGCTCGCTCTCTCTCATTCTCTCTCTTAAAATAAATAAAATCTTAAAAAAAAATAAGATCTTTGGTTTTGTTTTGCACGCCATTCTTTAAAAAAATTATATTTATGATTAATCTTATTAAAAATAAATTTAGGGGCACCTGGGTGGCTCAGTTGGTTAAGCGACTGCCTTTGGCTCAGGTCATGATCCCGGAGTCCCAGGATCGAGTCCCGCATAGGGCTCCCTGCTCAGCGAGGAGCCTGCTTCTCCCTCTGACCCTCCCCCCTCTCATGTACTCTCTCTCCCCCCTCATTCTCGCTCTCTCAAATAATCTTTAAAAAAAAATAAAAAAAATAAAAAATTTAAATACTCAAAACTGATCATTTCCCAATCATTTGATTACATTTTACTATTATGTATACTCTTGAGGTGAACCAATTGTATTTACAGGTGTCAATTTCCCAAATTCCTGTTCAGGGACTTCACATCCGTGGCTTGCAATCAGCCACGGTGGGAGTCTTTACACCATGGGCGTCGGCATTTGCTACCCATCAGGGCATTCCCCTACCCCGGAGAGCCGACTGTTACATTCACCAGCACACCACTGCTCAGGAATCATACTTTTCAACCTCCCCCAGGAGATGAAGGGTGCTGTGGCTCTGGAAATCTCTAGCTGTTTGAAACCTCTGATCTTTCTGAAGCCAAGCTGTGCCTGACAGGCAGAGACATAATCCTGGGGAAGCGGCGGGGCCACAGAGTCATTTGAGGGTTTCCCTGAGATTGGAAAAAAAAGCCATAACCATACATCTAATTGCCACTCTTATCCCTGAACTGGGAGAAGAAATGCGGTAACAGCTTACTGAGAGATTCGCCTTTAAAAGCCTCTGATTCCAAATTTAGTCACCACATTTGCTGTCTTCATACTATTTAATGAAGAGGAACTTAAGTAGAGGCCGTTTGTTGGAACTGGCAAAGAAGTGCATCTGTGTTTTCTTCCTGGAAAGGGAAACTGCAGTTACAATAAAGCCATCGTCTGCAGGGTGGCACCCCGTCAGCTGCTGGTCCTGTGGAAATCCCGGGGAACCCCCCTGGTGCTCCCAGGAAGCCTGGCGGGACCATATTCCCTATGGTGCGAGGGCACCATGACCATCGTCCTGATTTATAATTGTGTTTTCCGAAGTGGGGTGCCCGTGGTCCCTTGGGGCATGGGAATAAGTGAAGTCAGTATTTTCATTTTAAAAAGTACCCATGTGAAAGCAATTGTTACTAATGTTCACTATGCAAAACAGGTCAATTAGATACACTGGAAATGCAAGCTCAAGAAAAATTCTTTTAGCATGATTGCATGGCCCCTGCCAGCAACCTGTGTGGGCAGAAACGCAGTTCCATTTTTGTGACCCCAGTGCCAGATCAGGATCTGGTATATAGAAGGTGCTCCAAAACTACATGTTCAATTAATCAATGTGGGTAAAATACAAATGACTTCCTACTTTCTAGGGGGGTCTTGAGGCTGCTCCATCTGGGTCAGATGTGGGTCATGCGGTTAGTCAAGGCCCAGACTGCATAAAGGGCCACTGCCCAGGGGCGGAGCTTTCAGAGAGAATCAAGTGGGTCAGTGTGGGGTCTCCCCCTTCTCTATTCTGTCCCCTTCCCTCTCCCGTGGCTTCTGCTTGGACAGGACACTTGTTCTCGGAAGCCAAAGATGGTCCAAGGAAATGACTTATGACTGGAACTTTGGGAAACTGGACCATACATCTCCGGGAATAAGCTCTGGGCATTCCTTAGCAAAAACATAGCTTAGGGAGGCAGAGGCTGAAGGGGCAGACTCTCCACCCTGGAGCAGAAGGTCCAAGCGCTTGGCATCATTCTAGAACGCCCACGGGAGCTGGGGACAGAGGCAGAATGCTGGGCCAGTACCTGGAAATGACCCCCATACAAATCCACATCCCAGGGTGCCTGGGTGGCTCAGTTGGTTAGCAACTGCCTTCAGCTCAGGTCATGATCCTGGAGCCCCAGGATCGAGTCCCGCATCAGGCTCCCTGCTCGGCGGGGAGTCTGCTTCTCCCTCTGACCCTCTTCCCTCTCGTGCTCTCGGGCTCTCATTCTCTCTCAAATAAATAAATAAAATCTTTAAAAAAAAAAAAATCCACATCCCAGCTTCACCTGTTTCCCACCTTTGAAGTACAACCGGCGCCCTCCAGCTAGCCCCAGGTAATGGAGAGGAATGCTGCTGATGGCACCTGTGGCCGCTGAGCTAACACCTTAGGGATGATGGCAGAGGCCTTGACATTTATGTGTATCTAAGATGGAACTCAGAACATCACCTGCACATGTTCCCTCATGTGTTCCTCTTCTGCCACCAGCACAGAGGAGCCCATGCCTTGCTTCTGCCTCAACGAGTTCTGCTGGTTTCTGAGCTCCAAATGGCACCCCACTTGTAGTCTTCTGGAACCCCCCCTTTTCCCCCAGCTTTCTAAGTGATCCACACGAATGGCATCTTTTCCGTTCCACAATAACTTTTATTTAGGAAAGCAATATATAGTCATAGGTATCTCAGACAGTGCAGCAAAGTATAAAGACAAATACAAAAGACACTCAGGAAACAAATGGCTGGCTTCTGTCTTCTGGACGCCATGGATCTCACTGGAACAGACTAGGTTTGCTCCAGCATTGCCAAGTTCTGACCCGAGTCTGTGGCCGCCTCTGGCACCCGTGGCCATTTCAGCAGGTATTTTGTGGATGAACATTTGATGCCGTGTTTCATCTCCATTGTTCGTTCATTCAAAAATGTGAGAGGGATTGTGCTGAGGACATAAAAGGGACAAGAAACAGTCCCTGCCCACAGGGGCTCACACTCTAATGGGGAGGCAGAGAAGTAAACAGTCGGTACAAGACAGTGCAGCAAGTGTTACCAAAGATGCACGCTCTGTGTGGCGTAGGGGCCACAGGACAGCCACCTGACCCAAACTTGGGGCAGCTGAGAGGGCATCCTGGAGGAGATGAGGCCTAAGATAAGGAGACCTGGAGGATGAAGTGGCCTGTCAGCCAGGCAAGGTAAAGACCTCCCCAGTGCGAGTCTGACCCTTTTCTCAACACTGCATTCAAGTCCCTCATCTGACTGGTCCTTCCTCCTTTGAAATTCTACATCCCACAGTTGGTCCTATTGACAAGTCCCTCCTTCATACTGTAGTGAATCTCCGCATGCACACACCTTACACCAGGATGCCGTGTTCTCAAGGACGGAGACTCTCTTCACTGTACCTACAACTATGTTGGGCAGAATGGCCGCTCAGCAGACCCTGGGGCTGGGAGAAGATGGGTTTTGGGTGAACTCCAGCACTTCTCTAGCACTTGGCTGGAGCAAGAAGGATGGGGTGGGTGGGGGTCATAGTGAAAGGGGTCTGAGATATACAAAAAGCTACGTAAAGAAACCACACCCACTAGGCTGCTGCCTGGACCAGAAAGCTTAGAATACTTCTATTTTCACTAATGCAAAGTCAAACCACAGAACTGTTCTCAACGGCACTGTCATTTGAAAGAAAGGAACAAACAAGTATTCACTGCAACCAAAAACTAGACAGTAATTGCACGTCCCCCACTGCCCCCAACACCCTGGGAACGCACAGGCCCTGAAGATGGCTGGCAACTCAGTCGAATGTGATCCGGAAACTGCGCTCCTGCTCCTTGCGACGTCCCTCGCACACCTTGGTCACCTCCTCCACCTTCCTCTGCAGCAGGGCCGAGTTCTGGTCGATCCACTGCAGTGAGTCCATGTGTGCGTTGAGGATCTTGCAGATCTGCTGCAGCGGGTCGCTGGTGTCGGCCGGACCTCCAGATGTGTTCAGGTGCTCGATGATGTCCTTGAGGTCTTGGGCCATGCGCTTCAGCTGGGCGTCGATGTTCTCAGCCAGCTTGTAGGTTTTCTCACGCTCCTCGTCGGCATGCTGCAGGTAGACGGTGCCACTCTGCTCCTTGACCGACTCCTCCAGAGGGCTCAGCAGGTCTTCCAGCTCCTTCTGCTGAGACAGGATGAAGTCGAGCTCTTGGTCCAGCCTCTTCTGGTCCAGCTTCACTTTCTCCACCTCACGGTGGAGGGTAGTGATCTTCTCCCCATTCTCGATCAGTGTGCGGTCCCAGGCATTGACCTGTGTGGCCTGCTGCAGGAAGTGCCGCTCCTGGTCCTCCAGCTCCAGACTCCACTTGTTGATCAGACTCTCCAGCTGGGCGTAGGTCATCACAGGGCTGGCAGATGCCCCAGTGCTGCCACTGGGGCCAGGTGGTGCGGCCACAGCAGCTGGTGCATTGCTGGCGATCCCGGCTGGTGCCAGTGGCTTCAGATTCAAGGCGAAGCCAGTGGTGGTGGTGGATGCAGTGGTGGTGGCGGCGGTGGTGGCGGCAGTGGTGGTGGATGTTGTTGTGGAGGCAGTAGGAGCTGCTCCAGGGGCCTTTAAGCTGAAGCCCAGCGTTCCAGCCCCGGGAGTTCCGGCCGTCGTCGAAGGGGTACAAAGGGAAAGCCCAGTGGCGGTGGACGAGGTTTGAGCAGTGGCTAGTGAGGTGAACAGTGTGGGCCCAGCGCTGGTGGTGGCAGCAGCAGGGGCAGGAGCAGCTGGCTGGGTCGCTCCCGCTCCGGTGGCAGCCGGAGTGGCGGGAGTGAAGGGCAATCCGGCAAGGGCCGTGGGCTGGGTCGACGTCCCCATTGAGCCAATATTGAAACCTGAGGCCCCGGTCTGGGTCGTGCCTCCCCCTGTGAATGAGAACCCTCCTGGTGCGGTGGACGAGGCGGCAGAGGTGGTGGTGGAGCCGAACACGAAGCCGGTGGGGGCTGTGCTCTGGCCGGAGGTGACAGCGCTCGAGATCGCACTGGTGAGGGAGCTGCTGCCGAGCCCAAAGCCGCCAGTGGGGGCTGGGGCCGGGGCCGGGGCCGGGGCCGGGGTGGCCGCTGCACTGCTCAAGTTGAGCTTTGGCGCGCTGATCCCTAAGGAAAATCCAGTTCCTCCTGTAGCAGGAGTTGTGGTTCCAAAGCTGAATCCTGGGGTCTGTGTTGCTGGAGCTTGGGTCGTGAACGAGAATAGGCCACTAGAAGGGGTGCTTGCGGCCGGTTGGGAGGGAGTCCCAAAATTAAACCCACCAGTGCCAGATGTAGAGAAAGAAAACCCAGTAGCAGGCGTGGTTGTCGCCGTCTTTGCAGCACCAAATGTGAACCCGCCTGTGGGGGCCCCAGTGCCTCCAAAATTAAACGCACTCATGGCTCCAGAGTCTGGTGGCGGCAGCTACTCAGGCTCCCAAAGCAGATCCGTCAGTGTCCGCAACCTTGGGAAGATTTTTAAAGCAGAGTAAGTCACATAATCAGATGGCAGCCTGGGGAAGGCAACCTCACTGGCAAGATGGAGCAGTGTGGAGGGTGGCGGGACTGGATGATTAGAGTATGTGGCCACCATCCCACTCCCTGCTATAACCTAGCCAGGCCCTGTTAAAACTAGAAAAGAAAGATCCAGAAGCAAAAGCCCATGCCCTGGGGGTCACGTGCTAGGAACTAGATGTGCTTGGGACAGGCACGGTCACATTCAGCACAAGCAGGTACAAAGGGAAAGCCCAGTGGCGGTGGACGAGGTTGGAGCGGTGGCTAGTGCCCTAGAGGGGCAGGCCAAAGAGCCCCTGAGGAGGAGATCTGATTCCCTAGAGAAGGGCAGGCCAAAGAGCCCCTGAGGAGGAGATCAGATTCAAGGCACTTCTGGAGAGTGGGACTAGAAGCACACAAAGTTAACACCTTCAGAACCTGCTCCCTAGGCTTCCCTGCTGAATGCAAGTGGGAGGTGGTAGGTGATGGACTGCTCTGAGTGCCACCCTGAGTGTCTCTGGGGACCTCACAGAGAGGCCCCAGAAAGCGGAGTTGTATGGCAGGGCACGAGGCACCTAAAGGCCCCATCTGTGCACACCCCTGACCATTTAGGAGGATGGAGGCATGTTGGAGCGTCCCCTTGCCTTTTTTTTTTTTTAAGATTTTATTTATTCAGTTGTCAGAGAGAGAGAGTAAAGCAAGGAGAGCAGTGGGCAGAGGGAGAAGCAGACTCCTTGCCGAGCAGGAAGCCCGATGTGGGGCTCGTTCCCGGGACTCCAGGACCATGACCTGAGCTGAAGGCAGAGGCTTAACCGACTGAGCCACCCAGGTGTCCCTCCTGCCCTCCTTCTAACTCAGCGGTGGACATGGGACCCAAGTCAGCTAACTCAGACCTCCCCTGGGATTTCTCTCCAGGGACTCAAGAGGAGGTGGCCTGCTTCACCTACGGGTGTAGGGCACAGAGAATGGGCACGTGGGGCACCCCCTCATCCTTCCAGCCATCTGCAGCTGAGCTGCACAGAGTGGGGAGGAGGAGGGAAGGAGGGAGAGGGAAAGTGATCATGTGCCCAGAGGATTCACACATGTTCACAGGGTCCTGCACTGGCTCTGGTGAGGAAAGAGAAGGGAGCCCAGGAGGACCTGTGAACACCTGGCTGTAAGTAAGTTCTCAAGACACCTGTGGGTTGTAGCTGACCTCAAGTTTAACAGGAATTCATGGTTGGCTGCCACTGCTCAGTGGGTTCCCGCCCCCCGCCGTGGCTGCAGGATGAGAAATGCCGATTCCAATGTAGATACCAGGGTGATTTCCAGGCAGCTTGGTGTGCCCAGTACCATGCTACATACATTCTCCTTAGCCACCAGACCCTCAGCTAACTTCACAACAGTCCTACAGGGAGGCTGGGATGATGGTCTGCATGCAAAGAGAGGGAAAGAGAGGCTCGTATGGAAGTAACTTGTCAATTCTTATCCCACAGTGGGCCCTGAACCTGCCCATGGGCTGCAAACCCCTCTTTATTTCCACTCCATCAAACTGGTCCATCTGGTCACAGGGCACACAGCCCTGCTTTGGGGCATGGCCACCATGCTGTACCCCAACCTCCACCCAATACCCTGCAGAGCTTATTTTCCCTTCATCTAAAACAGCTAAGGTAGTTCAGCAGCAAGACAGCTCCCTGTTCTCAGGCACAAAGTTGGTTCTCCAGACATAAAGAAAAGACCCAGATTTGAACTCTGCTTCTGCTACGAACCGTGGGTCCTAGGGTAAGTTACTCCTGAGCCTCTCTACACCTCAGTTTCCCCAACTCTAACGAGGATGATCCCCCACCCATGTGAAGGATAAACAAGGTCATGACAGAGAAGCCAAGTGCCTGGCCCAGAGAAGGCATCCACAAGTCCTGTTTCCTCTTCCCTCTCTCTTCAGGGCCAGTTTTACTTCTTCAAGTATTCTCAGGAATCCTCTCGTGGCCTGGGCCAGAGGAAACCTGCTGTGGCTGCCCCTCCCCAACTTCCACGGCACCCTCTGCCTTCCTGGCAGACCCCAGTATTTCCTTCTCCTCCTCCACACAGACACATGCTTCTAGGAAGATGACCTCAATGTGGTCCGCTCTGCCCCCGGGGCCGCCTGGTTTAAGCAAGCAGATCTCAACTGGCTGCCCATCAGCACCTCCAGGGGTGGGTGTTCAAAATGTACACTGCAGCCAGACCAACGGGGGCAGTCTCTTTTGGGGGGAGGCCCCTGGCTGTGGCATTTTTATAAAGCTCTTCTGGGGGCTCCTGGGAAAGGTCCCTTCATTCTCACCACAGCTATGTCTGAGCCCCCAGGGCCGCTTGTGCCCCACACTGCCCTGCGCCAGACCCTCTCTCGCATGGGAGCACACACCTCCCCACTCGAGAGCCACGTCAAGCCAGGTTTGCCGTTACCAGCAGCCCAAAGCATCCGAACAGCTACGCCTATGTGTCTCATTTCTCAAGACCTCAGCCCAAGAGAGCTTCTATTAATAAGCTGCAGCTAAATTTTTCCACAAGAGCATTTATAAAAAGCTCTCTGCAACTATTAAAAAACTAAAAGAAAAACAATCATCTGTGGGGGCTTTTCTGGTTTAATGGTTCACCATTTATTAAATGCCTCATCAGTTTCCGATACCACACAGGCTAGGGAATCTACTAACAGTGGCAAACACATATTGATTCAGCCCTGTGCTATGCGCTTTAGATGTATTACTGCTCACTTACTCGAAAAGCAGGTCCATTTCACAAACCAGGAGAGTGAGGCCCAGAGAGGTTACCTAAGCCGTGGCTCTTGCCCTTGAGGTAGCCAGAGACAGGGCAAACGTGAACTTCAGTACCAGGGCTCTAGGCAGGGACGATGGGAGGTGAGGGTGGAAAGGGGTCACATAGGGCGCATTTTCCTGAGCTGAGTGTGGAAGGATGCGAGGTCAGCCAGGGTCGGTCAGGTGGGTGGGAGGAAAGGCCTGGGTGAGGCAGAGAGAGGCTAAGACACAGGTGTCTCTGGGGTGCTAAGTGATTTGGTGTGGCTGGAGGGAGTGTTTGTGCATGGAGTAAAGAGCTGACTCAGAAGGCCTGGGTTATCCACACCCTGCACGTTCCAAAGAAAAGACTGGCCCTTTTCTAGTTTCCTGTGAGATAACCTGCAAGCCCTGACAGCTTGACCTCTGCAGGGGCAAGACACTAGTGACGGTCAGTTACACAGACGTTCCGGCCTACATGACCGACCCCCAGCAAAAATCCTGGACACCAAGGCCCAGGTGAGCTTCCTTGAAGGGCAAAACTCCACATGGGCGAATTAAGTGCTGTCACAGGACTCCGCTGGGAGAGACAACTGGAAGCTCACACCTGGTCTCTCCTAGACTCTTCCTGGTGCACCTTTTACCTTTGCCGACTGATCTCCCTCCTTTTGCTGTAACCATGAATCTAACAGCTTTACTGAGTTCTGTCTTTCCAGCTAATCACTGAACCTAAGGGTGGTCTCGGGGACTCCTGAGCACAATGTGTGCACAGTGCTGTGTGATGTGACGGGAGCTGTTGGTTGGGAAAGGACATGTGGATGGCTCAGACTTCATTTTGAGTGAGCCATGCAGGGACCTGAAGGTTGGGGAGATTAACACGGCCAGATACATGTGTGGGGAATTGACTGGACGAGAAGAAGCTAAAGGGTCAGGTGGCTGGGAGGAGGCTGGGGTGATGGTCTAAGCCAAGAGCCTAAGTGAGGAGCCAGGACTCTGGGGACAGAGGAGAGAGAACCCCAATCTGGGAAACGTGTAAGTCTGTGCAAAAATGAAATGAAGCGATGGTTCTGCAGAGGCTGTCTCAAGTGAACAAAGCTGTCAACCAAGACCCGGACTTTGGGAGTTTCTCACAAATGTGTCTGAACAGATACACACTATTCTGAGCTCTGATACAGGATTTTCCACTTTTACCAAAGGGGCAAGCTTTCCTACAAGAGCAGCTGACAGCGCTTGGGGTCAGGTGCTTAGGGCTGGGCGGCCACACACGTGGCATCTGTAGCTCACGTGGGCCTGGAGTGAGGAGGGGCTGACTCGAAGTCACCGAGTTACTGACAGAGCCGCCTGCCCTGCACCTGTCCTTGTTTTTCAAACCACATCCGCCTGCCTTCACAGCCCAGGGGAGTCGGGAGGATCTGACCTACAGACTCATCCTGTCCCCCAGCTTCGAGGACCATGGTTTTCTGCCATCACCTCCAACTTCACTCAGGTCCACTAACCTGACCTCTCCATTCTTTGCTACTCCAAATCCCAACTTTATCTAATTTATTTACTCAGCCCTATTCTGTGTAGTGATGACAACAGAGACAAAACAAACTCTTGGTAGTGCAACATTAACTCACACAACAAACACATCTGAGCACCTATGTATGAGCACTGTTCCAGGCCCTGGGAATATGGCTGTGACGGAGAGAATGAGTCCCCGCTCTCATGGAGCTTCTCTTCCAGCATTGGAGACAGACAGGAAAACAACAAACTTCATAAACGAATCCTACAGCATGCTAGAACAGGCTAAGCATTATGGAGGAAGAAAAAGTGGGGCAGGGAAAGGGGAACAGGGCAGCAGCAGCATGAGGGTAAAGGGGTTGACTGAGTCATACTGAGGAAAAAGCTAGAACAAAGCTGGGAGGGGGGGTGCGGCCATGACAACAGGAGGCCAGTGTGGTTAAGCCCAGGGACTTTCCCTCTCTCCCTATCCCAGCCCCTTTCCTATATCTGGAACAGGGGTGTTTGAGAATGAATATGTGGGTATCTCAGCCTTGGACCAAAGGAATGGAAGGATTAAGAAGGCAATGTGTGTTTGTGTGGAGTCCGTGTGACAGAATAATGGCCTCCATACGTGTCCACCCCCAACCCCAACCCTGTGAATATGAGACCTCACATG